TTTTAATTCTCCCTCACTGATGAAGCTTAGCTTGGCTGGGTAGGTTATTCTTGGTTGAAATTGTTTATCCTTTAGGACTTTGAAGATAGGGCTCCAAGCTCTCCTAGCCTGCAGGGTTTCTGCAGATAAATCTGCTGCTATTCTGATTGGTCTTCCATGGTGGGTGATCTGGCCTTTTTCTCTTGCTGCCTTTAGGATTTTTTCTTTTGTGCCTACTTTATTTAGGCGAATTATTATGTGTCTAGGAGTTGGTCTTCTCATTTGTTGTCTAGCGGGGGTTCTCTGAATCTCTTGTGTTTGAATTTTTGTATCACTGATTAGATGAGGGAAATTTTCTTGAATGATCTCGTGGAAAGTTTGTTCCAATGTGGTCTGTGTTTCTCTTTCTGCCTCAGGGAGTCCGATTATTCTTAGGTTAGGCCTCTTGAGGTAGTCACTCATCTCTTGAAGGTTTTGTTCTGTCTTTTTTAGCTTATTTTCTGTGTTTTTAAGAGTTTGGGTTATTTCTATATTTTGGTCCTCAAGCTCTGAGATTCTTTCTTCTGCTTGGGTAATTCTGCTTTCCATGCTTATCAATTTGTTATTTATTTCATTCACAGTATTCTTTATTACTGTTATCTCAGATATCAGCTCCTTCATAGTTTCTTCTTGTGTCTCCTCAATTCTTTTTAGTCTCTCCATTATTGTTTTGATATCTACATTTGCATTTTGAGACCCTTCATTCTGGGGACTTTTCATTGTTTGTATTCCAAAGTCAATTTTCTCAGTGTCTGCTCTCCCAGGCGTCTGGGAGAGACCCATACTCTTCTTTTGGTTTTTCTTCATTTCTGTAGATTTTTCTCCCTTTACCCCTTTCCCTCCCCCTCTTCAATTCTGTTTTTGAGGGAAGGTGGGGTTGCTTTTATTTCTCTTCTGCAATGACCTGTTCTTCCTTATGAGGATCTTCTGGTTTTGTTCACTTTTCCCTCTGCTTTACAGTCTGTCTATTCAGCAGTTTGCAGTCTTGGTCCGTTCAGAGAATCTCACAAGTTCACCTATGCCGTCGCCATCTTGCCCCGTCTATCGTCTTCATGTTTTTAAGAAACATTATTATAAGTCACAGAAACTGACAATATAATCATTTTAATGGGGTACCACATGCCACTTCAAAGAAATAATATAGAATAAGTTTGTCATTAAAAATGGGTAAAGTAATCCCCTTATCTTTTTCTTCCACTTTAGAACCTCTGTTAAAAATGGGAGAAGGAGTGTTATAAAGCAGATGTTATAAATGGATAACAACTTTACAGTCCCCAGCCTGAGAAAGCAAAGTTTGCAATGTCAAAAATAACTTTCATCTAGAGGCAAACAGAAAAATAGAGCTTTGTACACGAATGACTTGTAAACACAAGATCTACAAAATGCTTTCCTCCATATACTTTTCTTCATCTGAGGACTGTGCTTGGTATGTTCACATTTTAACCAGCATTCTTAGTTCAATTTAATTCATAAATATTTTAATAAGGTAGAATCTTTATTTCCTCTAACATAAAATTATTCCTCCAACCTTAGAAAGACCAGCTGTGAGATTTCAAGAAAATGTATTCAAGAAAGATTAGGGAATAAAATAATTAATTTTTACAAGTCTGCATATCTCTATAATATCCACACTTAACTGTATCATAAGAAAGTACAGAATAAAATGTCAAAATGAATGTATTATCATTATTTCTTTATTTTCAGCCCTCACTTATTTGGAAATATATTAACCATAAATATTAACTATAAATATTTCCTTTTTTGTTTCCTTTTTGTTTTTTTTCCTCTCTCCCCAATATATAATCTAAATTGTCCACAGTATTCCTACAAGCGACCTCTAGAATAAAACAAAAGAATTTCTTTCTTCTTATCCAAGTCATAACCACCTTTATCTGACCATCTCCTGGGATTGGCACAGACCCCCTTCTGGAGAGGTACTGAGCATTTCCTGTCTTTAAATAGTGTTTGTACCAGACCAGTGGTCCTCCAAGTGTGGTCTGGGGTCCCAAGGGAATCCCTGGGATCCTTCCAGGGAGCACATAATCTCAAACACACATGAATGTAAAAACATATAGTGTTTCCTAAAAAGTTTGTAAACTCTCCGCTTGAGTTTCAACTAGAGGCTTTATGAACATTTTAAAAAATGTTCAAAATCTTTCTGCTACCTGAAAAAAGATCACACTCTAACAGTAATCAATCTCCTATTCTGGAAGAGTTATTACTAAATGTATGACTGAGTACACATCACAGCTCACATAAAGAAATTTACTCTAAATAAATATTTGTTCGTTAAGAATATGGTAAAGGCATGTCTTGTTTTTATATTATACTCTAAAATGCTAAGTAAAAAAGAATATAGTTTGGATCTTTGGAGAGAGACATTTCAATATCAAGAAAGGCATATATTATAGTGTTGTTACTACATTTTGACATTTAAACATTTTCATGGTTTAAAAACATTCCTCAGAAGGGACACTGAAATAGAAGCAAATGGGCTGAGTCAAAATAATAATCTGACTTCTTAAATTACATGACAGGATCTGTAAGAAATTAATAATTTATTCATCGGTATGAAAAAATTTCCAAATGATAACTGCTCACTGAACTGCAAAAACTACTTCTAACAAGTTTTTCACATATCATTAAAAATTAGGTGTTATATTGGTTCCCATCCATGTTTTTTAAAATTCTAAATGTATATCTCTCTCCTTGGGTAAATTCATTTATTACTGCCACAATTTTTAGTATCTCCTATATACAAATGATTTTTAAATATACACTTAATTTCTGACTACTTGGTGTAAAATAATAATTTATTTTAGACACCTGTGTCTGTGTCCAAAAGATTCTTGATCTCAGCTAAAAATAAGTCATTAATTATCTGTAGAGTTTTTAACACAAAAGGCCTAGCAGGTAGACTCTGACATTAACATAATGTATTTTCATTATCATAATCGCTAAAGTGACATTATATGTAGTGTTATTCTAAACAGAGATAAACATATAGATACTAAATGTGCTTTAAGAATAAAATTTGGCTTACCTTGCCTTGTAAATGAATATTACTGCGGATTATATCTCGTACTTCATCCTCAGTATCTTTCTGTCAAGAAATACATGTTACCTACAAGGAGTCTTAAATGCATCAACTGTCACAAGTCAATAGAAACAAATACAGCTGACAAATATCTCCATCAAAATTTACACCACAAATTTTGGGCGTTCCCCTGCAGATAATTTCTTGCTACTGCTTCAGCTTGAAACACGACAACAACCTACTTTCACTCTATAGTAACTATTAAAACTCAATGGAATTAAGCCTCCAATTCATAACAAGGAGGAGGGAGTTGCATCGCTTCCTTGGGCTCAAATAGAAGTATATCTCCAGCATTCTCCCAAATCTCCACAAAGTTATTTTAGCCCTCAGTAACATCCTCCATGGTCTGGGAATAGCAAGGAACACATCTCTGAGAATCAAGTATTAGTCAACAGCCAAGTGTTACATCAATGCAGCCCACTCCCACAACTACCCCCCAATTCATTCATTTTAGGGTATCAAACCCTGGATATTCAGAGAGGTGCTTCATTCTTTGTGCAATGGGGATAGAGAGAATATGTCCTCCAATTTACATAAATATAAAATAGTATTGCCAGTGTGTATTTTTGAAAGATGGCACCCTCATCTTCAAGGCTATGACATAAAGAAATGTTGAGAACTTAAACCTTGATGCTTGCAAAGGAAAAGAACGGCCAATTCAAAATCTACACCTTCTCTAGTCACAATTGGCATAATATGTTATGTTTCTAACACTGAAAAATCACCTTTCATAAACTTAAATATATCTCCCACCAAAAATTTTATATAAGAGTTCATATGAAGCCCAATTTTTTTTCTTTTTTCTTTTTTTCTTTTCTTTTTTACTATCAGAGATTCATTTGTGTCTTTTTCTGTTTGGTTTCTGAATGTGCCCTCGAGGTGATTAACAGACCTTAGAAATAAAAATAGTCTGAAAAAAAAAGACAGTCTTTGTATTTGAATCTTGGGGACTGTGTGTTGGAAAAACTGCTTAATAAAACATTTAACACAAATGAAATATTGACATAGGACAGTGACACAAAGGAGTCAAACACTTGAGGGTCTGGAGGTTGGACGATCATTATCACCGGGATGAGAAGACTTACCAAACTAAATCGATTTTTGGCCAGAGCAATGAGCTCCTGATCCCCAGGGGCACAGATGTTCAACCCGATGGGCAGTAACCGCTTCAGAGCTGCTACAATAAGAGAGGTCTGCATAGAATACCGATCCCCTTTGCGCTTCATTTTCTTTCTTTCTTGATCAGAAACAGCTGCCTGTGGAACAAAGAGAACTGCTAGGATCTGCGCCCACCTTTCTCACATTCAGAACTATGGCTCTTCTCTAACTTGACTGGTCGCTTTGTCGCCCTCATTTTCTACAGGCCCCCATCTGGAAAATCCTATCTTTGAAAATCTAAGAATTTATATTTATTTCTTTTCTTCTTAGCGCCTTTTGTTAATTTTAAGTCTTACTCTCAGATTCGGGTCATTAGAATTCATTCCCATGTAAGTTTTAGAATAAAAATGAACACTATAATTTTAGGGAAGCAGATGAAGATAGGAGAAATCTTATGGTAATTTCAGGTATTGTATGTTTTCTTTTTTTTTTTTTTTTTTTGAGTTGGAGTCTCACTCTGTCACCCAGACTGGAGTGCCCTGGCCGCTCCCGGCCACTGCAGCCTCGACCCACTGGGCTCCGGCGATCCTTCCGCCTCAGCCTTCCGAGTAGCCAGAATTACAGGTGCACGCTACCACGCCCGGCTGATTTTTTTGATTTATTGTAGAGATGAGGTCTCGCTGCCCAGGCGGGTCTCGAACCTGCGGGCTCAGGCAATCCACTCACCTCAGCCTCCCAAAGGTACAGGATTACAGGCTGAGCCACCGAGCCCGGCAGGTAGTGTAAGTTTTCTAATGTTCAATGCTTAAGAAAGAAATTTAAGAATAAAGGGTTTATTTTTGTTATGACAAATGCTTGCTTTGAAAAAATGCATACATATACATATATATATATACACACACACATACATACATATATACAGTGTGTTTGTGTATAATAGTATGTATAAAATGGTTATAGGATAAATTTACTTTTATATAACCTGCACTTTGTCTCCACAGAACCTCAATTCCTCTCTACTGGAAACAGAAGTATTATACTAAACAGTGTTTCATAAATATTCAAGACTATCTAGATAACTAGTTTACAATTGAAAACTGCTATGCTACTTCAGGGCTCTCCTGTGATATTTCTGAGGTTTAAGCTGATGCCACAGGGTCACTTGAAATAACAGAGTCTAATTTTCACTGGGTAATGAGTATTTTTCTTTCCATTAAGAGGGCATGTTCTAATGTCAAAATTTAAAAATTGGTCCTGTCTGGGCTCAGTGGCTCAGCCTATAATCCCGCGCCTTTGGGAGGCTGAGGCGAGTGGATTGTCTGAGCCC